CAGGAGCCAGGTGGAGGCAAAGGTGTGAGGGACGAGGTCAGGCGGCAGGCTGGAGCGCACAGGTGCTGGCCGCTCTGCCGGGCCCGCCAACGGCCTCCCACCGCACGCTGGGCGTGCTGAGGACGCGGCGACAGCGGCCAACGCTGACTCGGAAGCATCAACACGGGCGCAGAGCTGCCCGGGCCGCCGTCCCTGCCTCGCCAGGCAGAGGCGCGTCGTGCGACGGGGCCTGTGAGGTGAGCAGCCCCCGAGGGCCCAAATCAAAGCGGGGGCAGCGGCCCCCGTACTCACGAGCAGGACACGGCTGCGGACCAAAGAGCCAGTCCGGGGCACACGTGCCTGCCGTGAGGGTTTAAGAGGCGCCGAGCCGGGCGGGCTAAAGCCAAGGCCCAGCTGTTTACTAGCACCGGGAACAAGCTTTTCAGCTTCCAAGACACAAAAAGCCTGAGGAGTGAGAGGGTGGAGACGTGAGACCCGACCAGCAGCCCATAGAAAGCCCGTGGCGGGGCGCAGCAAACCCCACTTCAGAGCAGAACGCCACCAGCGCCCAGAGCGAAGCTTCGCAGAGGGCGGCCGGCGCCAGGAGGGAGGCAGCCCCACACCGCACGCGCGCTACCAGCCAGCGCTTCCACGGCAAGACGCGAAGGACCCGAGGGGAGCAGGTGGTGACAGCCGAAGACTCCGGTGCCTCGCGGCTAGCAACGGGCGCTGCCTCCCGGCGACGGGCGCCAGGGAGGGCCACCGGCCCGTGCGACGAAACACACGTTCTCATCAAACAGAAGGGCAGCTGGAACTCCCCGAGTGCGTGGAGTTAAAATAATCCTCGTAACAAACAGGCCGAGGAGGCTACTACCAGGGAGGCTTGGCGGCCTGGTGGCCCAGCTGAAGTGAAGCGGCTCAGGAAAGGAAGCTGGACGCGCTCTTGGCTTCCCAGCAAGGCCCTCAGGGGACGCCCAGGGGAGGCTCGGGTGAGGCAGGCTCGGGTGAGGCCGCGACTCACCATCCAGACAACGGTTGTTGTACTTCTTATACGCAGTGATGGCGTCATCCTTCTTCACGAAGACCACCTCTGCGACCCCAGGGTGCACCAGCCGGGCCCGCTTCAGGGCTCCACACACGCAGAAAAGCTCCTGTCAAGGACAAGAGCGCTGGGGTTGGGGGCAGAACCCGGGCGACCGCCCCCTGCCCACCGTTCACACCTCACAGAGCACTGTGGGCGGACTGCACCCTGCTCAAATACACCAGCACCAAGAGCCCAGAAGGCTCCGCTTCAGGGGTGGGTGGTCTTGGGACATCCAAAATCTCAGCGTGGGGATGGGCGGCCTGGGCTGACAAGCCTGGAGGTCACTTCGGCGAGTGACTCCCAAAGTCCTCCTGCCTCGGAGCTGGTTTCCTCGCAGGGCTAACAGTTACAAATTTCGGAGCGTGCCATCACGCAAGTAAAAGGCCGAAGCCAACATCAAGTGGGTCCCTGGTAGAAACAGTTTTGGCGGCCGACATGGAAGGACCAGCCATCAGCTTGGCTGCAGTAGGGTCCCCAGGATGTGGGATCTTCAGTGCCCAGAGCAGGAGAATCCCCCAGAAAACCCGGACAGTTGATCACCCGAAGTCGCTGGGCTCTGCCTCAGGTCTGTGACCGCTAGTAAGGCACTTCCCTTCTCTCCTGACAAGGCAAGCTTTCTTGTCAGGGCGAGACCAGAGAAGGGCAAGCTTTCGGTAAAGGGAGCACGGTGGGGTGGGGGTGCTGGACAGGCCGCCTGGATTGAAATTTGTCTTTAGAAATAAAGAGGAAAAGTGACATATTCAAACCCGGACAGGGAGCTGGAGACGTGTGGCGGGTTTCAGTGCGGTGGCTCTCTGCGCCTCGCCCACTGGGGACCACGGCAGGTCATCCCAACAGGCTCCATGTGTCACTACTGCACGGTCACCACTGTAAGTGCTCAACAGCAGCTATTGTTACTTTCACAACCAGAAAAAGGCTTTCCTCACACTCATGAAGGACAAAAGCAGGCCGCATTCTCCTGTGCGACACTGACTGGCGTGCCCGCTCGGCTTCAGAGGTTTATTTATACATACAGGAGCCAGGTGGAGGCAAAGGTGTGAGGGACGGGAGGGTTGAGAGGATTCACCAGAGACACAGCGGGGAGACGGGAGAGGTCTGCCCCACACGTGGGTCACGGCCAGGACCGAACTCATGCTGCACAACTACTGGTAGCTTCATAGTGCCGACTGTGCCACCAGGGAAGCCCCCTGCCCCCCAACTACTTTTAAATGCCACCCCACAGCATCTGTGGTGACGATGAAAACCCTCCACCAGCATGGTGGCCAGTGTGGGCCGTGGCGGAACCGGAGCTGAGCCGCGAGGAGAGGCCAAGTCCCCGCGGTCGCCATACTGGGGTCGGTGAAGAGGGCACCTGGTTTCTAAAGTGACAGACCTCCTGGATCTGTCACTGACAGTGAATCTGAAAGCAGTCCTGGCTGCTCAGGGACCCCTCACGGGGCATCTGGTCAGGCCCTGCTCGACGCGAGTGGCCAGGAGGGCTGAGGCTTGGGCCTCCAGACCACACTAAACCAGCTCATTCCTTTTCCTCTGGAGTCATCACGTGAAGCCATGAGAAGCACTGGGTGTCACACAGGGGAACTACAGGACCCACAGAGGACACACGTCACCCCAAGATTCGCACCAGGGCCTGGCTCAGAAGCTGTGAAGAGACCTCGCAGCCAGCCTGACCACTCTCCTGCGAGGGCCTGCTTCCCGGGCTGGCCCTGGCCGGCATCCAGGAAGGCGACCTTGGGGGCGGGATCACGCGGCGCCTCCACCGTTTTGGCGACAGCGTGATTTCCAGAGGGGCTGCTCCCAAGGGACCTGGGACCTCGGCATGTTAGGCGGAGGCTGCTCCGAGGGCGAGTCTCGGTCAAAGCCCTGGCCACGAGGGCAAACGAGGCCACCCGCCTCCGCGCTCGCCGAAGCTCTCTGCGGGGCAAGGGGCTCCAGCGGGAGGACGGGCCCGGATCGCCCAGCTCCCCCTGCGCCCCGAGCGGGCTGCGCTGTAGCCCGTTAATCAAGCTCCACCCCACCAGAAGGCCACTCTGCTGGGCCCCGTGAGCACAGGGAGGTCACGAGGAGTCCCTAGCACAGAAGGGCTGGGACATCGAGTCCCGCAGGCCTGGTACTCACGACGATGTCCTCCTCGGTGACGCGAGGGTGCAGGTTGTTCACGGTCATCTTGGTGCCTTCCAAAGGGCTGAGGACAGGCTGCCAGAGAGAGCACGACAGAGGTGAGGGACCAGCCGGGTGCTCCAAGAGCAGGCAGCGAGCAGAAGGCCCAGAGGAGACACCCCTGGAGCGCCGGCCACGGCGGGCCCCCTGACCTGGGCGCCTGTCGGGCCCCAGGCTGTGTGCAGGGACAGCCTTCGCCTCCCAGCGCTCCTGGCCCTCTCTGCTCCTGTGCCAGGGCCCATCCCGGCCACACACCCTAACCCTTCCCCCGCCCCAGGTTTGACAGCAGAGCGAGCAGCTCTTCCCTCAGCGCTCAGCAGCCCTCCCGGCAGCCTGCCGCACCCCATGCGCCCAGGTGGCAGCCGCCTGTGGCGGCTCCTACGGCCTGCGGGTTCCGTAGGGCGGGGCCTGGGCCCTGGTCGCTCATACGCTAGTTGGGGCTGGGGGGCCTCGCCCCCGAGGCGTGAGCACCCAGGCCCACCGCCTCTGTCCCGGCACAGGCTGCGCTCAACAGGGCGGCCACCACCCCCATACCTTACCTCAGCAGGTGGCAGCTCTTTGGGGGGCTCCTCCTTGTTCACTAGTGTCCGGGACATGTTGGTCAGAGCTTTTGTTCGAACAGAGGAGGGGAGTGCGGGCGCGGTGTAGGCGTCATTCTGGACCACTTTGGTGAGCGGGAGGGCCTTGGACGAGGAAAGCTTGGAGCTGCTCAGCCCGGGCTAAACAAAGAGGCAGACAAGGACCTAAGAAGCGAGAGACCTGGAGGCGCCGTGAGGCTGACAAGCCGATCCTGGGGGCCGCCCAACTCCCCGCCTCTATTAGTGGTGTGGGGCCAACTGGCTGCCAGGGCCAACTCACTGGGAAGAGCAAGACTGGAGGGAAAAGCCAACCTGCCCAGGCGCCCCAGAGGCCACTCTCAACAGTGCTAGAAGCTCTGAGCAAGAAGCATCCGAGAAGCCCCGACCAGCAACGAAAGGCTTACTCCGCCCTACCGAAAGGGTACTATATACGCTAAGACCCACGCGAGGGCAGGCCAGAAGGCCAGAAGCCCGGCAGAGGCCATTTCCAGACACCTTCTATCACAGTGGGCAGCCGACACCAGCTCTGGGCCAGCCGGGTGTTGGAGGCAAGTTCGAGAAAACTCAGAGTTCCCAGCTTTTGGTCCCTGTTCCGGCCCACAGAGGTGACGCGCAGTGCTCTGACCTTGCCCGCTCCCAACAGCAGCCACACACTGGGGGAGGACGCGGGTGGACAACAGTTCCTCCCCCGCCACAACCCTAACAGGGCACAGATCCGCTGTATGAACCAGGAAGCTCCCTGCACTGACGTGTCTGAGGAAGAGGCGTGAGGCCGAGGCGGCAGGTGGCCTCACATGGCGCCTACTAGGCTCGGAAGGGGGTGCAGCAGCCTGACGGCGGAGATCTAGAGGGGCCCTCCCCGCCTGGAGCCTCCTGCCTACAGCCACCGAGCCCTAGAGCTGACCCTGGGGCCCAGCCCAGACTGCCCAGGCTTGGACCCTGGGGCCACCTTACAAGCCCTGTGCCGCCTCCCTCTCTAAGAGAGGAGGGCGCCACCCACCACCAGGGAGGGCAGGAGACGCACATGCCTGTCCACCACGGCGCTCCCCATCGGGGCTAGCAGTAGCCCGTCAGAGCGATCACCAGGAGGTCTGGCCCCTTGGAAACAAAGCAGCCTCCTTCAGCCGCAGGTCCCTGTAAGAACCTCAGCAGTAACCAGAAAATTCCTGCAAAACGGCGTCTTTGGGCCTCTGGCCGGCCGTCAGTCACGCTGCGCCCACGGAGCTCAACAGCGCAGACCCCGAGGCTCCTGGCCTGAGGCCGCAGCACAGGCACCTGTGGGGCAGCCGTTCACCCCGCTACCGCCCCCAGCTAGGAAGTCCAGACCGGAGGGCGCCGGAGCTGTGCCGTGGAGGGAGGGAAGGGAGCGCTTCTTTCCTGCCACAAAGGGGAGAAAAGGGCATTTCCCCAGCTCTGCGCCCGCCTACCGCCGCGGCCAGGACGCCTGGCCTCAGCTCGCACACAACCACGTCAGACTAGCTCCAGTTCTGAAACTGTAGGGCCCAAATGGACACGACTTCAGGAGCGCCAGGGCTGCCGCCTCCCTCGCCCGGCCGCCCGCTCACCCCAGGGAGCGCAGAAACGCGGCATCGTACCCCGTGGTGAAGGAAGCTGCCCGAGGCCGCGACCTTCATCTGTTTACTAGGAACGGGAGCGGCGATGTCGTCGTCTTCGTCCAGGTCGTATAAGTTCTGCAAATAAAGACACAGGTGAGAGCGGCGCAGCAGGGCCCAGACATCCGGAGCAAGGCCAGCGGGGGCTGGTGCTGCTGGGGCCTGCGGGGGCCGGAGTCGGGGGGCTCCCCACCCCGAAAAGCCAGATGAAAGCGCTGCAGCCCCAGCAGGCAGGCGCCACCTCCGGAGAGGCGCAGACATGCGCTCCCACCCTTGGCGGAAAGCCCGCTCCACGCGGCCGCCGTGGAAGGAAGCTTTGTCGGCAAGTCCGTCTGCCCTGAGAATTACAGGCCAACGGTTCCAGTAAGCTGGACGCGACTAGATGCGGTTACATTGTTATTTACTCTCACAGGAAAGCAAAGCACAGAACGTGCTTGTGGTGTAAAATGAAAAATGACAAAACCGGGCAAGAATGTGATCACAAGCGCAGCCGCACATTAATAAGTAACAAGGGCGCTGAGAAAAAGCAAACCGACAGGAAGCGCGGCGCACTCCCAGCAGGGGCCGCTTCCGGGAGCAAGAGCCCAAGGAACTTTGATTCTCCCTAGTTTTTCTATATTTTGCACATTGTCTGCATTAAGCACATACTGTATTTATGATAATTAACAAAAAATCGGCGTTCAACTTACTCCTCGGTCCCTGCTAGGCCTCCCCTCCCTCCCTGATAAGTCTGTTCTTGGAGGCCTCCCAGGCGCAGGGTTAATTATCAACTACCCACAGTCACTGCAGCGTGAGTTCGGTCCCAGGCCAGGGAGTGACCCACAGGGCGCAGCGGATGTCTACTGTCTCCTCGTTGCTCCCCTCAGCAGTGTACCTTGTCCATCCACCTATTCTGCTCCCCACTCTGTCTCTGGGGAGTCCTCTCACCCCTTACCTCTGGCCTGCACCCTAGCTCTTGTATGCATAAATAAGTTGTCTTTGAAAAGTTTCTTCAGGCCCTCCCTGGGGGCACAGCGGGTCAGAGCACAGCACAAAGAAGCTTAAGCCGCTTCCGCATGAGTTCGAACCCCGCCTGCCCCGGAAGGGACCACATGGCGCGGCAGACCTCTCCTGACCCGCCCGCTGCTCCCCTCCGCAGTGTACTTCGTCCATCTGCCTGTTTTGCTCCCCACTCTGTCTCTGGCCGCCCCTGAGCCTCTGGCCTGTACCCCAGTTCTGTATGCACAGATAAATAAATCTTAGAAAAAAAAAAAGTTTCTTAAAACTCATGAAATGCAAAAAGTCAAACGGAATCCCGCCTCCACTTCCTCAAATTGAGGGTGCTGGGCCGGTCCCAAGAACGCGTCCCTGTGTGTACACGCACGCATGCACGCACACCCCCTACCTGTTTGGCCTGGTGGTTATTGACAACATTGATCCTCATCCCTGCAGGGTGGGCGTGAAGAGGGGCCATGGCCTTCTGCTGAGGGACCTGAAACAGCGGGGCCATCACTTGCCTGCTGGGCCCACACGCGTTTCCACGAGTGCAAGAGCACTGAGCCTCTACTTCACGGACACCCGCCTCCAGTGTCTGGTAAAGACACGGGCTGCCGCTGGCGCAGGCGGTGGGGGCGGCCAGGGCACCAAGCTGGCAGCCAGCTCAACTAGGCTCCCACCCCGGTCCTCCCAGCGCTGGGCTTGCCATTTTGGCACTGAAACTCACACGTCTGAGCTGGAGAATCCTCGGTAAACCCTGAGTGACCAGCTGGCCGAGTGAGAGGCACGCAGGACCCGCTCTGCAGCCTGCCCGGCCCACAGGCATCCTGCCCCTCTTCCCACCACCGGCACCGTGACCCTCCTTTCTTTGACCAAGCCCTAGGTAACCCACGGCCCTCCTGAGCGCGCACCGGGGAACCCTTGGCCCGGTTCCTGCTCCCAGTCGGAGCTGCAGCTGTGGCCGGCTCTGCTCACGTGAGCCACGCTTACCTGGATGGTTTTGGTGAGCTTCAGAGCAGGGGTCACCGTCCCGATGGGGGGGCCCATGAAGGATGCGGGGGAACTCCGCTTCAAGCTGATCTTCTCCCGGGCATCCGCCATCTGGCGGGGCTTCTGGGGCGCAGCACTCTGCTGTTTGCGGGAGTTCAGCATCTCTCTGGCGTCCTGCACCTTCCCTTTGATCCGGAAGCGGGCATCTTTCTGCAAAAGCTTTTCTCGGGCATCCTTGACGCCCAGCTTGAGCCGGGCATCCGAGAGGCCAATCTTCTGCCGGGCGTCAAATCTCTGCTGGAAGGTGGCCGTGCGTGCAGGCTGGCTGAGCAGGCCCTGCTGCAGCCCAGGCCGAGATCGGACACCCCCGACGCCCGGCCTAGTGTTCAATCTGCCAATAAAAACAGCAGTCAGGGGACCGTATGAGCAGCAGCCAGTAAGGGCAGCCGTGGTAACACCGGGTCCCAGAGAGCCCCTGGGAAGCTAAGAAGCCACTCCTGGCTGAAGAAACAACCCATTGTACAGGCAGCGCTGCACTAGCAACAAAGGCGGCCCGCGCCTTTGGTCACGGGGAGATGGGGTGCAGAGGTGCCGTGACGCAAACGAAACTCCGAATGATGGCGATCCAATGCCCCTCAAAGCATCACAACCCCACACACCTTCCAAAGCTCTTCTGCAGCCAAGTTCAATCAGGCCACAGGACCCCCACTCTACAGAGCACTGCACGGGCCTGGGGCTAAGCCGGTCAGAAGGGAGCCTTGGGGCAGACGCCCCACTGGCCGGAAAGCCAGCAGGTCTGACCTGGAGCTGGAGGCCTTCAGGCAGAAAAACCTGGTAGGGCCACCTGTCCCCCTGCCTCACGCGGCTTGGGCACCCTGGGAGTCAGCGCTAGAGCATGCAGGGCACGGGAGCGGGGCGTGTAGGGAGGTGGGCAGGCGGGCGGGCGCGCGCGGAGGGGCTTCGCGACCTGCGGGGCAAAGGGCACCAGCGGGCTGTGCTGCGACTGCAGAAACCGCAGCCACACGAGGGGCGCTCCGCAGGGAGCAGGAACTGCACCCCCTTTCCAGAGTGGTGCTTCCCACCCTTGGCCACTGGGATCTTCAGACTCCGGGGGCGGGGGCGGGCACTGCTGCCCGCAGCACACGCCGGCGGCAGAGCGGAGGCTGGACCCCAGGTCCACCCTCAGCAGAGCCCCTCTTCCGGCCTTCCAACCTGGAGCTATGGAGAGGCGCCAGCCGGGCCCGGGGCGCCGGGCTACCAGCAGCTCTGGGGCTCGGCAACTCACGCCGAAGAGCGCGGGCACCGACTGAGACTCAGTGCCCACCTCAGGCCGAGAAGAGCCACGGGGCAGGCAGGACGGGCAGCCTGAGGTCTGGGGGGAGCCCCCCTCGGACCCCGCCCTCGAGTTCCGCACCCATCAAGCCAACTTCCGCCCCGGCGACAGGGACACAGAGCAAATGCTGCTCTTTCCTACAGGACGGCCGTGAGCTTGCTCCTGGCCTGTGGGGAAACTGGTTTCCACTCGGGGCAGGCGCTGCTTCCTGGGGTGCAGGTACGTTAATGCCGACTCCGCTTACTGCAGGAAACCACGTTTCTCGGCTGAAATTTGCTCAGCCCTTTCCCAGTCCCGGACAGAGCTGGGCACATGAAGTAAAAACCAGGGCGAGCCACCTGAACCTGCTGCCGCCCGCTGGCCTGGTCAGTCTTCACGCCACAGCAAAGCAACACCCTCACGCTGAGGCGGGGGCCACAGCTCCCGACAGCGCCCCCCACAACGCCTCGCTGCAGTCCTCCAGGGCAGGGACTCGCCAGATGACCCAGCAGAGCAAACAGCAGGGGCCAGGATCCGGAGCTGTGGGAGGGGCGGAACCCCAGCCCTGCGCAGCCCGATGCCCACCTGCTGTCGGGAGGGGCAGCTAGGCATGGCCTAGCTGGCCTCACCACCGGGCAGGCGGGGCGTGTCGCCACCAGCGGTGACACGGAACCACCAGCCAGGACCCAGGCGCGCCCGACCCCCCCCTTAATCCTCTAGCACCTTCAGGACCGGCTGCTAGGACAGCAGGGGCCCTGCCGGGAGGCCGGCGGGGAGGCAGAGCCCCACAGGGGCGAGGATCCTGCGGCCGCCCAGTCCCTGCAGTGTCACCCGCTGCCCTGCCCTGGAGGGCGCCCCTGTGGGTCAGGCCTGCGGGGTCGGGGGAGATGCCCTGCAGCAAATGCCCAGTAAAGCTTCGATGCCAGAGGGCTCGGCAGCGCGTCTCCTCTCCAGTCCCTGGGGCCCAGCACAGGCGACGGAGGGCCGGCCCTGGCCAGCGGGCGGTGACCAGGGCCGGCTCTTCTCCAGCCGCGGGCGGGGCGGAGCCGGCTGAGCCCCGCGGCCGCACCGCACCGGGGGACTGACCCTTCCCCCACGGGCGGCCGGCGCCGGCCGTTTCAGCCCTGGGCCTCACGCCCCCTCTGAGAAGGGGGGACGTGACGGGCTGGACGAGGGGTGGCGACAGGGGCCAGACGCGCTGGGGAACTTCAGACGCTGCACAACGGGGGGCGCGCGCAGAGGGCGGCGGGCTGACTCGGGGAGAAGGGGCTGGCTCCGCGGTCCGGGACGTCGCGTCCCCGCCAAACTTCGGGGTCCCAACTCGCGGGAGGGTGGAGACCAGGCCGCGCGGAGATCCGGAGGGGAGCCCGGGGCGGGAGACCCTGGCGCGGGGCCCGGC